ACAGTTGCTTGGCTCTTAGGGCTTTGGGGCTCCGATCCCTCCATGAATTGTTGATTAAAGCCCTTCAGGATTTTGACTCCCAGAGTCTGCTCTGCCCAGCGAAGAGTAGTCTAGACTGTGCGTGCCAGAGAGCCAGAAACCCATCTGCTCGAGTACCGTGTCCCGTCTCTGGCTGAGCGTGGAGAGGGGCCCTGCTGGCTCAGTCCTCTAGCCACGAGTTCAAGTCCAGCCCCATTCCTCACCATACCCTGAGCGCCAGGCATATTCTTGATGTTGGGATGGCCAAGCCGTCTGCTCAGGTGGCTTCAAATGTGTGTGGAAAATACACCGAGGCTTATTTTTACTACTTTTCCCCCCTACCTAAATTTAGGGGGTTTCGTTTCCAAGCCTCCTTTCTACTAGTTGGCAGAAAATGTGATTGATTGATTGATTGATTTTGGCCGTTTCAAGGTAAGATTTAGACATTGCAAGAGAAACACTCAGTTCAAGATCTTCTTCTCCTCCTTCCTCTCAGGGGACCCTGGATTCTGGGGAATGAGATGTGAGGAGACCGCTGGACCTGGGGAGACCTTCTCCCCTCCCCTGGTGCTCTTCCCAGCCTGCCCTGGGGCACGGCTGCCCTTGGTACCAGCTCCTATGACAGCAGCTCTCTTCCTACCTAGCCCCTAGACCCCTGGGTCTAGCCTCAGTCAAGCTGAGGCCTTGTTGTCTGGTGGGAAAACCTTGTCTTCACTGGGACCCCCAAGGGGCTGTGTCAGGCCCTGCCTTAGGGGTAGGAGACTGCCTACGCCACCCCTGGTGTGAGGTGGTAAGAGGTATTCTCTCTTTACCCTTGAAGGCGTCTTAGGACCTGTGGTTCAGATGCACTCCATTCGTTTCTCATTCCTTTCATGGAGTTTAGCCATCTGCCACCCACAGGCTCTGCAGTACCCCAGCAGGGGCTGGCCTTCCTTGCTCTCCGACTCCTCTTTCATCACCCCCCCCCTTGGCTGAGACTAGAGCTTCAAAGATTCCTGTTAATAAGGAACCACCATCCAAAGCCGAGCGCCGGTGGCTCACGCCTGTCATCCTAGCTACTCAGGAGGCTGAGATCTGAGGATCGTGGTTCAAAGCCAGCCCAAGCAGGAAAGTCGGTGAGACTCTTCTCTCCGACAGACCACTCAGAAAACTCGAAGTGGCGCTGTGGCTCAAGTGATAGAGCACTTGCCTTGAGCTGAAGAGCTGAGGGACAGCGCCCAGGCCCAGAGTTCAAGCCCCAAGAATACATAGCTCACAGGGCTGTTGCGAGACAGTCCGTGAAGCGTGATTCACAGCGCTTGGGGTTCAGGACACCTGCCGGCAATGTAACCATCTCCTCTCCTTTCTCCAAGGTGGCTTCTTGATACCAGGTGACACAGAGAGGGGCGAGCCGTTTTTGCAGACCTCAGCGCTCACCCGCACATGCAACCTCGGCCCCAGGACGCTTTTCTATTTATTTTCTCTTTGAGAAGACCTAAGGGAAAACACCAGGTTTGCCGATTGGCTCATCTGTGGGCAGTGAATGGTCACCTGCTGCTGCTGCTCTGGCCCATCTCGGGTGACAGACTGCCTTCTCTGAAACCACCCCCAAACCACCAGATGCTGCCAGGTCATGATCCTGGGGCCCCCCAGCACCGTGGAGGCGGGGCTTCCTGAGACCCCGGGACCAGCACTTAGAAAACCCAGACGGAAGAGGAAGTACCCCATTGCTCCCCAGCCCTCCGCCGCCCGCCCCACAGCAGCCTCCGTCCCTCCAGGAAATTGCCCGGCTCCCCAGATAAAAGTGTGGGTGAGCCCAGAGCAGGGGGAAAAGAAAGCAGTAATCCAATCCCTTATTGCCCATTGTGAAACCCAAACAGCTCAGACAGCTCAGGGGTGTTTTGACTCACTGGCCTTCAAACCTCGACTGCCTCGTGTGAAAACTCATTTCGGCAGAAGAAGTTTTGTATTCATTTTCAAGAAGGTTAAAAAATGAACCTCAGCGGGCCGCTGGTGGCTCACGCCTGTCATCCTAGCTACTCAGGAGGCTGAGATCTGAGGATCATACTTCAAAGCCAGCCTGGAAAGGTCCATGAGACTCTGATCTCCAATAAACCACCAGAAAACCAGAAGTGGCACTGTGGCTCAAGTGGTAGAGTGCTAGCCT